TTGACTTTAAAAGTGTCATCTGATTTTATTCTCACAGAAACCAGGTTGGTAGTTATTACAGTTGTGTGGATTTTCATTATCCCTATTTTAATGATGAATAACGTGAGAATTAGACACTCAAATAACCTGCCCCCAAAGTCCACTATGTTTCACTTGAAGTCCTGACGTTTATCCATTATATCCTATTACGTCCTATGCCATTTTTTAGATCAAGGCTCAGATTATCTGATTTTCAGGAAGTGAAGTTATGATTCTGAGCCATGATACATTTGTCTTCCCCACACCTACTCCGCACACCACAACCTTCCTTCTTCTCATCCAGACCTTTTGACTTGGACATATTTGGCAACTGGGTTCACACAACAGGCATAATAATGCTCTTCAAATGCAGTTACTGAAAACCTGAAGCTGCTTCAGCATTCTTTGATTCTTGAATAGGTAATGAACTTTGTCCATGTGTTTATGTCTCATCTCTCCATCTGAATTATAAAATTGTAAAAGGCTAGAAGAGTTAGGCTTATTGCTCTACACCCTTCCTTTGACATAATGGTTACTCTGTAAATACCTACTGATTTATTTCCACATTTAATTAATATAATAAAGGCATTTTTGCTTATAGTTTGAAAGCAACACTTCTCAAAAATTTCAATCACACCCTAGCTGGTTTCGCTCAGTGGATAGAGTGTTGGCCTGTGGACTGAAGGGTCCTGGGTTCGATTCTAGTCAAGGGCACATGTAGGGGTGCATGCATGAGGCAGCTAATCAATAATTCTCTCTCATCATTGAAGTTTCTATCTCTCTCTCCCTCTCCCTTCCTCTCTGAAATCAATAAAAATATATTTTAAAAAATTCAATCCCTATTTTTTCCTGTTCTTCGAGAGCCTCTGAAAGGCCTTGACCACATTCCAAGCCAAGCCCCTCCCCAGAGGTAGGACTTAGCTGACTCAGTAATTGCTGCCCAGTATTGCCTTGTGTCCTATAGTTTAGCCACAGGGCTAGATTCCCAACCCTTTTTACATATCAGATAATAATATTTGACAAGCGTTAGGAAGAATGACTGATAATGAATTTATGAGCATCACATCCCAAATATTTTCCATTTGACATCAATAAACACAATGGTTGGTTTCTCTGTTGCTAATAAATAAAATATTCAAAACACTCTAAAGACCTCAAATGAGTTCATTAGTGCTGTGGCTTACATTTTGGGTAAACAGCACTTTGGTGGGCATAAGAAAATTAAATTCCTTGAGCCACGGGAAAAGAGTTGAACTGAATCACTGTACCACGTTCCGGCTGGCCCATCACCAGCAGTTCGAACTGCATTAGGGAGGTAACTCTCTCACATCCCAGGGTCTTCTCAGCAGCCCTTGCAAACCTTTTTTCTTTTAGACTTAAAATTGGAATGTACTTTAGCACTTTCCCTTCTCAGAAAAAGCAGGGCATATTTGCTTAATTGTATCAACGTCTCTACCAGGTACTCTCACATATAAAAACTGACACCATAAAAACTAGATCACTTTGAGATTTACTAGTAAGAAGCTCTATGCCAAAGGAAAGAAAATATCTTAGCAAGCGCATTCATCTTTTGAGGTTTTTTTCTCTATTAAAAAAAGTCCACATAGTGGGATGGCCATAAGAAAGCAATTATAAGACCCAATTGGATTTTTTTTTTTTGCATAATCATTTGAGGTGATTTGCTATACCTCTGGGCTCAGCAGCAATTTGCTTCTGCCCCCTTATTATGCACAGGTGACTGACAACCCACAAATGTCAATGCAGGTGATTATGTGACAAAAATAAAACCTAAGTTCTACAGAGGTTCAACTATATTAACTTTTTAATTACAATCATATATATTGAGGGCATAATATGCAAGAAAATTTAATAATGTGTAAATTATGCTAAATATGGCTTGTAGATATAAGAAAGACAAGTCTAATGAGTACAAAGAAATTGAAAAATAGTATGAAACAGTGTTTTTTGAAAAAATAATATGGAACAGTGTTTTTTAGGTTTTTACTTTCAAACACCGATCCCTCAGGATCAGGCTGCAGAGACTCTGCAGAAGGCAGATCTCACGGGATTTTGGAGATGAGCCATACCGCACACTCGCAGAGAATCACAATGCACATCAGGAAAACCAAGGCTCTGGAAAGTCCTGTACTAAAGAAGTCTATTTCTTAACTTGGCTTAACTCTGTATTTCCTAATCCTATTGACGCACGAAGCCATTTTTTCATACTTCACACTCATGAAGCTTCGGGGAGATCCTGAAATGAAAAGAGGAAAACATTGGGAGATGTAGCCAAGGGAAACTGAGTCAAAGCTGGGATGCTTTGCTCTGTGCAACACGTGCTGACAGCACAAACACTTGGGCTTTCAATTGAGATAAAATATTCATGATTAATAATTCCTGAGAGGCAGAAAAAAAGGCAATTAAAAAGTTGAGTCTATTAAATAAAGTCTTGGTGGGTCAGCTAGAATCCTTCTTCATAGAAGTCAAGTTCCAGAGGCATGATAATCTATAAAAATGTGTTTCACCTCCATTCCATCGGTACAATTTAGATAATCCAAACTACATGGATACTTAGATGAGCAGGGAATATGAAATACTAACTTCTTAGATAAATAGCAATAGGGTCATCCCTTGGAAGATGTGGGTGGATTTGGGAGGTAAACTAGGTGCCTTTGCCCTCCTCTCTGAACCCTCTTCTCTTCTCCAAACCTCTGTCCCAAGTGAGCCAAGCTCCGGCATGCATCATTTCCCCTGCACAGCAAACCTTGTAAACCCTTCCACGCCAGATGTGTTCTTCCTCCTGGGGACATGAGCAGCTTGAAAGAGGTATGGCAATGTCTAACACACATTATTTAACACAATTAATTCTTCCAAGGGGAAGCAGAGGTGTTGATACCATGTTTTGTAAGAGAAGACTTCCTCCTAGGCTTGCAATCAGATCCAAGTAGCCACTGGCATCATCTACTGTCATTAAGCAGAATCATTAGACCTGAGTCAATGAAATATTTTTTACAAGTTAAAAAAAATAAAAGAAGTTATCAGCAACCATGCAGCTGCCATCTAAGAAACAGCGAATGTGTCCCAAGTACTATGCTAAGTGCTTTACATACATTAGAATCGCCTTCATTTTATCCTGGAAATCATCAACGATGCAGTGTTACTGTGATATTTGTTTTATTGAAGAGGAAACTGAGGTTCAGAGTGTAAAACCACTTGTGCAAAAATCTGTTGGCTAGTGTGCCACATGGCTGGATTTGAACCCAGCACAGTGTGGCTTTGTTGCTATGTTGTAGAGCCTGCTTGGAAGAATGGTTATTTCAAATGAGCTTTGCATTAGTTTACTAGTCGCCCAACTGGCCCTGACAAGAAGTTTCCACATGCCTGAGGACTTTCATGCACACCGTCTGTATTTGTTGAGCTAAGGTTTTTAAGCCATCCCTCAACTTTCATCCACAGAACACACATGGGCATGCTGACCTGGCATCTTGCTATTCAGTCAAAAGTGACAATAACCTGGAGTTTAGCTCAGTGGGTATTTTTACATAAACTTTTTGTCTTAGAATAGTTTTATGTTTACAGAACGATTGCAAAGATAGTACAGATTTTGTACCTATCCCCTGCCCAGTTTCCCCTATTGCTATCCTTTACATTCACATGGGATATCTGTCAACACTAAGAAACCAACACTGATACATTATTATTAACTAAAATCCATGCTTTATTCAGACTTGCTTGGTTTTTACCTAATGTCATTTTTCATTTCCAGGACTTCATTTAGGATATCATGTCACACTTAGTCATCCTATCCCCTTAATTTCCTCTTGGTTGTGATACTTTCTCTTAGATTTTCCTTGTCTTAATGATCTTGGCAGTTTGGAAGAGTGCTGGTTAGGTATTTTGTACAATGTTCTTCAAATGTGATTTCTCTGATGTTTTTCTCATGGTTAAACTGGAGTTTACAGGTTCTGAGGAAGTAAGTGCCATTCTCATCACATCACGTGACTCATCGCTGTTGACATTAACCTTCATTACCTGGTTGACATGGTGGTTGGCAACCTGCTCCACTGTAAATTTATTCTTTTTTCTCCCCTTCCATCCTGTATTCTTTGGAAGGAAGTCAACAGGTGAGGAGTGGAGTTCTGCTCCATCTCCCTGAGACAGAGCAGCTGCACACATTACATGGAATTCTTCTGTCCAGAAGATGTGTCTACTCCCCATTTCTACAGATGGTGGATATTCATACTTTGGGTTACAATCCAACACTACTTTATTTTATTTATTTTGTTGCTGAAATTATTCCAGTTCGGCCACTGGGGGCTCTCTCAGGTGACTCCTATATCTCTTTGGCATACACTCTCCACTATGTTTTTATTATTTGTTTCATGAGAACTTGGTTATTACTTTCGGACAATACAAATGCTCCAGGCTCATCTTATAGATTCCATGCCTCAGTCCTAGAATCTGCTTTCTCCACAGAGACCTGGTTCCTTTTACTGGGAAATAGTATTAGAAACCAAGATCTGGGAGAATAGGTATTTTCCTAAATGTTCATGAAAACCTGCTTAGTTTTATTTATACCAATAGTCAACCCATCCTTAGTCTTCCAAATAGAAGCAGTTCCTATATAACTCAGGCATACAAGACCAGTGAAAACCAACTGTGAAAATCAAATAGAAAATTTAAATCCTCCATACTAATGATTCCCAGCATCCCTTTGAGCTGAGAAAGCATCCAGATCTCTTGCTTGCAGACACTCCTCCTTAGATTAAATTATTAGGCAGTCCACTATGTACAGAGCGCTCATTTTCCTAAAGTTATAAGAATTCTGTCCCAAAGAATGAACGCTGCTATATTCTATCAGAAAGCGAGACCCAAACAGCCACTGTCCTGCTTAACCAGGGCTGTGTTATTGGATGTGTTTCCAAAGAAACAGAAGGTCACAGAGGCCGAAAAGGCAAGGCAGCCCCTTATAAAATACTCACTCAGGATATGTCCATCTATGGCAGCAGTTCTCAACCTGTGGGTCGCGACCCCTTTGGGGTCGAACAACCCTTTCACAAGGGTCACCTAAGACCATCGGAAAACACATATATAATTACATATTGTTTTTGTGATTAATCACTATGCTTTAATTATGTTCAATTTGTAACAATGAAAATACATCCTGCATATCAGATATTTACATTACGATTCATAACAGTAGCAAAATTACAGTTATGAAGTAGCAACGAAAATAATTTTATGGTTGGGGGTCACCACAACATGAGGAACTGTATTAAAGGGTTGCGGCATTAGGAAGGTTGAGAACCACTGATCTATGGTGTCTTGAGGCTCTGTGCCTTTGGATAAGCTGTTCTCTTCCATTTTCCCTGCCCTGTGCATGTGGCTCACCCTTGTCTCCCTGGTAACCTCCTATATACTATCCATAGTCTGTGGCTTCCAGTTCACGGGCCCATCTGTCACTCATTCATTCCACACTGTGGCAGACTACTCCAGGCCCTAAAATCTTGGATATAAGCGTGAATGCTAACAGACTAAGACCCTGTTCTCACAGAGTTAAGTTCCAAGGGGATGGGGTGGGGGGAGGGCAGAAAAAGGTCAGGTAGTGGTAAGTGCTAAAAGAAAAGGAGAGTGAACATGGAAGGGGATACCTGCTCTCTAGTCAACAGCCATTTTAGAGGGCCCTTCCTGAACTCGGGTCCACCACTTCCCCTCTCCTCAGTTCACTCTATTTGTCTTCCTAGGACTAGCAGAGCATTCACCATGACGAGTATAACTATTTGTCGGTCTGTGTGTCTCCCCCAGTAGACTGACAACCCTTGGGAGCAGGCATGGGTCAGGTTCACCTTATCAGTACATAGTTTGCAGAGAGCCAGCACTCAGTGAGGACCATTCCAAGGGAATGATGGGCATGAGATTCTGCAAACAGTAGGGGCATGGATGGCAATGAGGTTTTGTACTCTAAGTTTTGTACTCTAATTACATAATTTGAAGCATGGTCCTTGTACTATCACAGACCAAAATGTCCATGTGCTCTATATCTGTATTTAATATTAGGAAAAGGCCTATGAAGAGCCACACAGGAAAACCCGAACAAATGATGTGAAACAATGGACTTTGAATGGACTTTGAAAGCATGGTGGGGTGGGGAATGTGTTCAGTGTGGGGGATTGTCTGAGTATATCTAAAAGGAAGCTATTTGAGTCAAAACAAAGCAAAACAGTTCTCATGCAATTCACCACTTGTGACATGTTTCCCTTTGGGCTTAAAAACCCACCTCATGGTATTTCTATGAAAATTCAAAAATATTATGTGCCTAAGAGTCTCAGCCTAGGACCCAGCTCCTAGTAATCCTATAATAAGTGGTATTGATGTGAGAACAGGGACAACTAAACACTCTCTCACATAGACTACCACTCAACTCACTAGCCCCTTGTGGGCACTGACTCATTTAATGTTCCCAGTAACACCATGAAGTAGGGGCTCTCATCACCTCCCTGTAGCTAAAACCCAAGCTCCAAGAGATTCAGTGACTTCCGAGAGCAGGAAGCCAGCCGATGGCTAACCTAAGAATGGACCCCTCAACAGTTTGACTCTGTGGCTGAGCTCTTCAGGTCAGACAGACACTCACAACATGTCATATACTAGTATATGGAATATACACACACAACATGTGTTTACACAGCTGAGGCTACCATGGCACATAGGCAGTCATTCCCATGAAACGTGTCTGTTCTTGGATAACGAGGCAGTGGACCCAAGCCATGTCACATGGGAACAAGCAACTCCAGGTGTGCCATGGGGAAGGGGTCACATCCAAAGCAACAGTTTGGGTACTGCTACCCGAATTCTTGAGAACTTTGCTCCCACCTCACCCCAGGACCACCCTTTCCCTTCATCATGCAGTTGCTTGACATTTGGCAGCTGCCCGTCTCCATGCAATGGAATATAATAAACGTGTCTCTACAACCTTGCAGCCTATAACCTTGGCCTTGACAAAGCCATGTACTACTAACGATAATGCCTGTGCAAACCATTCATTCTTACATTCGATAAATGTATGGAACCACTAGTACATGCCAGGGACTTTTATGACACACTGAAAATATACATGTGGAACTGGACAAAAATCCCTTTCAGCTTCAAGACAACATTATAGCAGCATCTGAAAACATACTTACAACACATCTGCACATTAGTTATACATATGTGTGAGCCTCTTACTCACAGGCTGTCCTGCTTTGCTATCAGATGCTCATGGAGTATTTGATAAATCGACCAACAAACTAAGAAATATATTGCTTTCAATTTTTTCAAGGAACTCTGACTATCATAGTCACTTCTACGGGCTCCTTACCTTCACCCTGAAAGGTAGAAACATGTAACATTGCCCCTATCTTGCAGATGGTGGGCCGTTGGTTCCATGGGGTTAGCTGTCAGAGGAAGGACCAGGAGGTAGGCTTTCTAATTCCTGCTTAAGAACTTCTTCTACCCAGCAAGGTACAGCATTTTGGATTTCAACAAACAGAAACCTTATAAACACCCAGATACTTGGCAGCTATGACACTTGAGCCACTCTTTCCCTGGAGACCCATGCCCCCAACCACTGAGCTTCTCCCTTGTCTCCTCAATGTGACAGCACCCTAAAGACGTCACATGAAACCACTGACCACTGAGCCCTGGCTTACATGCTGGCAGAGTGGATGTTTTTTGTAAACCTCACACTGGCCAGCACACTCAGGCAGAACCTAGAAATGGAGTCCATCCAAGTCACCATGTGTCCCCATCACCATCTATCATGTTTTCCAGAGCTGGATCTCTCTTGGCAGCAGGTCCAATTTACACAATTAAAAAGAAGCTTGGAAATTTTCGATCATTTAATTAATCTTTATGTATTTTGTCTTATTAAGCAGCGGAGAAAATGTTTACAGCTCAATTGAATGAATTAGCATTTATAATTCTTCCTTTTGCAAAGAGATTTATCCACATCTATCTATATAAAATATTATTGAAATAAAAATGTCAAATCTAGATTCTTTGGCAAGATAAGAGGAATTTTATAAGACTGAAGAGGTGACATGTGGCCGGAATAATCTCTCATACAGATTTATGGCATTTCTTGAGCTGTAAGTATAACATGTTTAATGAAGCTAAACGTTTGCAACCTGTCTCCCACAGAGTCCAGCAGAATTTGCTTTTAGAATCTCCTGTGTCTAACTGTGGCTCAGAAACTATTTACATGCTAAGATGAGCTTTTCATTTATAGATCATAGGATACTCTTCAAAATTATCTACAAAAATTATTATGCCTTTTCAGAAATTAATGACCCTTACAATTTACCAATTTAAATATGTATTGGCTTAGATAATTCTTATGAGATTTGGGAAACACTTTGGCGAATGTTAGTAAGGTAAACCAGTGTCTCAGTCAGTTTGGGCTGCTATAACAAAATCCACCATAAACTGGGTGGCTTAAACAACAGATGTTTCTTTCTTACAATTTTGGGGCCTGGGGAGTCCAGGATCAAAGTGCCAGTACATTCAGTGTCTGGTGAGGGCCCTCTTCCTAATTTGAGGATGGCCACCTTGCTATATGCTTTTGGCAAGGTGAGTGGGGAGGTAGAGAGAGCAGGCTAATCTGGTCTCTTTTTATAAGGGCACTAATCCCATCATGAGAACTAGAGCCTTATGACTGAATCTAAACCTAATTACTTTCCAAAGGCCACATCTCCAAATACTACCACCTGGGGAGAAGGATGGGGGGAGAGACTCTGACATGAATCGGAGTGGAGGAGGGGTGGACACAAACATTCAGCCCATAGAGGTCAGGAAGGAGAATTTCACAGGTTCTTGGAGCTTCATCCTTCTGGGAAGCCCAAAGAAGAGGCCAGAAAATACTCCACTGGCAATAAAGGAGGAAAAATAAAATCTGGCATAATTTCCTACAATAAAACTATGCTACCTTTTAAATTCATGTCTGTTTTTAGGACCAGAAACTGAGAACACTAATAAGTTGAAAATACTTTAAACCGCAAGGAAAAAAAGCACACAAAAACAATTAAGCCTTTTTATAGCCAGTCCCATAGTAAATAGGTGTGTTTTTTTCATTTATTATTTATTTTTTTAAATGTCTTTGCTCATAATTAAACTTAGCTTTGGAGAAGTTTTCAACTTACATAATACTTTCCCATTATTGCAATGCTCCCTTTGCCCTGGCTATTTAGAGGCAACGTGTTGAAGTGACAAAGAACAGACAGGAAGTTCCATCAAGATGAGAAAGGAAGGAGGGGAGGGGTCTCTATAATCTGCAGCCAGCCAAATGATTAACATTTCCCTCTCTATTGAAATGAGTGCTCTGAACAGGATATAATAAAATGGATTCCAGTTTAAACTATATAAAAAGCTTGCCAAGACAACTGGTATTCAAGGGTAATGCTGGGGTTTTATAATTGGGTAGCTGCCACGTGGATAAAACAGCACAAGAAAGAAGAAGAAAAGAGCAGAAAGGGATCCAGCAAACTCCATAAAGGCTTCAAATTTCCGTAACTTGCCCATAACTTTCAAATCTGGCCTAGAAATCACTAGCCCTTTAGGACTCCTGAAGATCAGGTAACATCGAATCCTGTGTCACGCGACAAAGGTCCAAATGAGAAAGAGAATCCAGGCTCTCCAGTCTGGACCCGGCAGCATTGCTCATCTGATTCAGCCCTGATGCTGCAGCAAGTACAGGAATCTCTGCCACTGGAGCCACACAGGGCCCTGCCTTTCTAAGATGCTTGAATCGGCAGGTGCAACCGGCCTCCTCTCAGACCTCGGGGTCTTCTGTGAAAGCAGATGTGAGCCCCTCGGGGAGAGAAAAGCAGCAGAGCACCCCATCACTATATCAACACACTCTGGCGTGTGCAAAGCCCATATGTGAAAACCCAAACTAAAAACCCAACTCCACTCTTGACAATACAGGCAGTCATGCCTGTGAAAGTGATTCTGCCATTTCTCAGTTCAGACTGTGAAGGCATTATCTGGTCACCACAGCAAACACCTTTAGTAACGATCCGTAGGGACCTACTGA